CTTAAACATTGAAGAACAACTTTTGATCATTTTCTTGACATCGCAAGTTGTCGTTGCAACGGTATAAACTATGGCAGAAGTATCCTTAATTTCAGCTTTAAGTGCTTATAAGTAAAAAACGAGTTTGGTATCCCAATTTCATTGTTCTCGAATGGTAATCAGTTTGTTAAGAATTGTGGGAGCGGTAGCTACATCAGTTTTTCGAAAAATCAAATTTGCAAGACAACATATCTCTATTCCTCTTCTTCTTCCTGTTCTTCTTCCTCTCTGGTGCAAGTACATTTAGAATCTTAAAAGCGATGAACTGATATCTTTGGCGGGAAGCTGTCGAAAAATCACCAGCTTCAAATGGATTGTTTCAAGTGGAAAATTAACTAGAACGGTCTTGCCAAAGGAAAATGTTCAAAATAAAACGGATGCCCTTCGAAGTTGTTGCTTTTTTTGCATTTTTACGAACATGATGGGAAAACAGAATAATCTCGATTTTGTCTTTTACATGGGACGAACAAGTGCAACGAAGGAGGCGAGCAAGTACATCTTAACGGGATATCTTTTCCAGAGGTAAGGGAACTCATAATATCGTCTATGCTGCTATAACACCAGAAGGAAAATATGTAGTGAAATTTAGATATTTATAGTGTAATTAGTTTTAAGCGACTTTTCCAAGACATGACAACAGAATGCCAACAATTGTGGCAGACTTTTCCAATTTAACATCACCATCCATAGTCACAATATCATTCTTTTTGAGCGTTCAGTGCGCTATTGCAATTTTTATCAAAAGTAGACCATTAGATCAAGATTTCAATGAATAAACATATGTCGTTGACTCTTAAAACAGCGCCTTTTGTTGGGAAATTGGGCTAATTATCAACATCTTACTCCCGGTGGGGGGGGGGNTACTCCCAGGAAAATTGGGTGGGGGTGTGCGGCCCGCTTCCCAAAACCCCTACCCTATTTATGACCAAAATCTGCGATATTCCCTACCCTATTAATGACCTGACCAAAAATTCGAAACCCTATTTTTGACCCTGTTTCAGACCTGCGTTATGATTGGTTCCCTAGTTCAGACCAATGTTAAGTTACCATAAACATAAGTTGTGAAGGGCTTTTGCTGTTTTTCTCTCAGTCGATAATGATGAAAAAGTGGCTTCGTCTTAAAAGCTTACCCATATGAAGGCTAGATTGCAGAAACCATACCCTATTTATGACCAAAATCAGCTAAAATCTATACCCTATTTATGACCAAAACGGCTGAAAACCATACCCTTTGGGGCCGCACATACCTATACAGCCCATATAAGGGAGTACCCCCCCGGGATCTCATTCATCCGAGGATGTTGTATATGTAAAAGAAAACCAGAACTGCATGGAAGCTTACATCGTCAGTTTCTTGAATGTGTGAGATATGTCGCTTTACAAAACTGGAGCTAAATGCTTTTTTAGGTGAACAAAATTGTTCTCTCTTCTTTAAGTAAAGAAGTTCTCGTTAAAACAGGTTTGTGACGCACTGTGTAACAAAAATAATAAAAATTCAAGGTTTATTCTAACGTCCAGAACTATTGGCCAAAACGCTGTGTTTACTCTGGATGTGTCCAATGGGATGACGCCTTCTATTCGTGATATGACTATGAAAGTTTGGTTTGTTAGCGATAACAAGCTCGTACCTCTGAGAAAACTGTCTGTTGTTAAATATAGTAAAAATCGTTGTTCTCAAGTTTAAGGTGCATGTTTTCTACCTTTATTTCAAAAGGAAAATTTATTTTGTAACTGAAACCCTGTTGCATGAGTTAGTATTTACACATTATTTAACTTTATACAAATATAACATACACCATGAAGTATGTTAATAAACTGATTAATGCTTTTTGAACTGTAAAAAATACGCTTTTTCCTCTCTACTGAAATGGCAGGAACCTTTCTTAATGATATAATATTACAAACGTGGCGCGTCAGTGTATCGAAATTTCGAAGCCTTGGATCATACCATATTGATTTATCTATTTAGCTTTTGTAGCAAAACTAGCACACTTCTTTCTTCTTTTTCAGTTGTGAGTTGTTATTTTCATGCAAATCGTGATCAAACGTAGCTATATCCGTTAAGTCTCTAGTAGGCCCAGAAACCAGGATCAAGAGAAAAATAATTACAAAGATTAACTCTTTGATTGTGCATAATTACTTGGCTTATTTTATTTATTCCGGACAGTTCACTCACGGAGACGACGAACACGAAAACTGTAAACTAAGGAGAATTTAAAAGTCAAATATATGAAGGAACTGAATTTAAAAACTGACTGAAAAACACGGAGATCCAAGGTTTTAGCAGTATAGAAGGCTTCAATCAAGCATGAGGGCTGTATCAATTTTACGTTACGAAATATTTATTGTCATCATACACATTTGTTGACAGAAAAACTAACCCGGAAATATGTTGAGTTTTGTCTCTGAAGTTTAATTTATCATTCTAGGTGTAAAACATTTTCAACGAAAAGCGCTAAAGGATCAGTTCAGCACAGAGTTTAACTAAGAAAATTTTTCGCTTATTAAAAGTATAGAAAACTCGACCGCTGAGTTGATAAATTCACCAGGATTAAGGCGATCATCTATAATTCTCGCTGACTGCCAGGACTTTGCGAGTTTTAGTTAAAAGTTTTTGTCTCCAGTTAAGGGTACAGAGCCACAAGGAATTATTTTCTTCGTTTTTAAAGCGGTTGAAGTTTCTTCGCCAAGACAGTTGTATTGTAGTTAGTAATCATAGCTTACCTCCAAAATAACTGCGTAGTGTCTTCCGGGATTGTCTGATGCGACAATGGACAGCTAACGGTATGGAAAAAGAATAAGTGCTTTAGATATAAAGTGATCAGATAGCAACAATGAAACAAAAATCACAGGCTTACATCGACAGCTTGTCAAGTTGTTCAGAAAACGCCTCTGAAAGCTCAGATAAATTTTTCATATTCAACTTAACGTTTGTTTTTCATTTAGTGGTTAATGCGCTTCTCGTCTGAACAAGTCTGTAGAACAATACGTATTGTTCTAAGAGGTATTGTTTGATTGTTTTTTTTTTTTCGTTGATTTATCTCTAATGGTTGAAAAAGTCCTCTTGATCTTGTGCTATTTCGACTTTATCGATGGCGATTTTAAACCAATTCGGATCACACAAGGAGTGAAAATGTTTTTCATCGCTCAGTATTCCTTAGAGTATACTAAATTGTCAGTGAGTGAATATTGTAGTTACGGGTGATTGAATTTGTTTGACAGTTGCGGAAGTAAACAGCCTTTGTTTGAGTTTTGTTTTCTTGCTCAGTTTGCATTCGTTATGATATTAGCAGTGGTAAAGAGAAAAAGTTTATTTACAGCATTTAATATAGAATGAGCAAAAACGAATCTATAAGGCTAAATGGCTTGAAATTGTAATCCCTTGCACGTTTCAATCGTGATGGTGGCTTTATTAAAGAGAAAATGATATACTGTATTTCAATTATTTTCAATACAATGAAAAAGTCATTATCTATTCTTAGAACTAAACTACTTAAGTGCTCACAGACGTTTAAACCAAGAACGTTTGTCTCAGTTTTTATGTGGTGCAAGTAATTCCAGTTTGAATTTCGCTTCTAGAACGAGGAATGTTTGACTGTTGTTTCCATTGTGTGAGCCTGAGTGCTGACCGCGGTAGCAGGATTTGATGAGGAATATTTTAGTGGCCATGTATTTCAAAGGTTAGCCTTATTTTCATCTAACTGATAACAAAGTCATTATCCCTTCTTTCTACTCGAGTGTGCATCTTATTACTTAAAAAATCAATCAAATTCACATCACTGTTCACAGCAATTATTTTACAGTGCATCTTGTTTCAGTGAGACTGTTTATGTTAATATTGGTTGCAATTATGATTTGTTCATTAATCATTATGGGTCATCATGGCTTTTTTCAATGTTGTAACATTTATTTGATATACAGCTGTCAATGAATATTTAATTTAAATCATTTTCTTTCGAAGCAACCGAGCGCGCGGGTTTTATGAGTGGTAACATAAATTTACTGGATAGCTGACGTGAAGACCGGAGAATGTGTAAATATTTAAAATCAAAGCGGGTGAAAAATAAAGGGGAAAAAAGAGAATAGTAGCTAAAGTAGTCGCTGGGTTTGTTCAAGCTTGTGTTGGGGGTGGAACTTAGCAAGTTTGTGAAATAATTGTTACTTTACTCCATTCTAGTGTTTTTTTTTTAATTTTCGCGACAATTAAATTTCGCAATGAAGTTAGTGAAAAAAGCAAACAGTTAAGAGATCCAGTCTAAATCACTAATTTACGTTTCTGAGTATATTTGTCATCAATTGAGCTCAGCAAATCAGTGATCCATCATTTGACTGGTTTGCGAAATATTTGAGTTCTGAGTTACTGCGGGGTTGCCTTAATTTTCTTAAATTTGTTATGATGATTATTAGTGAAGAGAGCAAGAGTCTCTCTTTAGAATTAGCGACGAAGAAAGGGTACCTTTTTAGCGGAGCTCCGGCGACCCGAAGGGCCGCCAAGCGGAGCCCCATACTCATATAGGAGAGAAAAAGAAACCCATGAGTTGATTTTCTCATGGTTATCATGGCTAGCGGTATTGCTCGTGGGCGCGTATGCACGACGGCGACGACGACGGATTTGCCCAACATGGCGGCCATACTCCAAATAATAGATTGACAGATATGCGACCTTGGTTTACCGTGTACTTCCTTGATATTGGACATCCACGTTATGATCAATTGACACCTGTCAAAACAAGGTATCCGCTGACCAGTATCACGTGACCATATCGCGGGCCCAAGTTTACAGCTCCTTGAGGTCACGTGTTTTTTTGGAGTTGACCGCCGACCAAGTGCTGGTTATCGATTGGATCGCGGGCTAATATTAGGTTAACTTGTTGGAAACAGGGCAGGATTGTTCGGAAGCCAGTTAACGCTGACCCAGGATTAAAAGTTAACCAAAATATAACTTTTTCTTCTATACAAATGTTTTTTGCTGTTTTGTTTTGTGTATAGGGTGATTATTAAAACTTAAACCAGAAGGCCAAACGATATACAGAAAACCTCACCGCAAAGTTTCAAAACTCAAATCAAAATTCTACTTTTTTCTGGGTTAGCTTAATCGGGCTTTGAACAACCCGGCACAGGAGCTACGCTTTTAGGCTGGCCTAAATCTATATATTAGCAGTATACAGCGATCTAGTCGCGATCGAGGACTGTATGACTGTCTCAACTTTACGTTACGAATTATTTGTTGTCATCGAACACATTTGTTGACAGAATAACTATCAAACTAACTAGCTAATATGTCGAGTTTGTTTCGGACATTCTAGCTAGTAGAAATTTAAAAAAAAAAGCGTTAAAGGATCAGTTCAGCACAGAGTTTAGCTTAAGATAATTTTCCGCTTATTGAAAATCTAGAAAACTTTGCCGAGTTGATAGATTCGCCAGGATTAAGGCGCTCCGATGATAAATTAGCATTCTCGCTGTCCACCGGGACTCGCCGAGTTTTAGTTAAGGTCATTCCACTGAAATAGAACCTACACTGAGATTTTCGTCAAACTTTGCCTATTGACTGTTTTATTGTAGGAACTTAAATTTGGAAATAAAAATGAGGGGCCCCCATGTTCGTTTAGGAACAACAGCTCCTTGTTTGTACCATATAAATACTGACAATAGCACCATGATTATAGCCACGATTGCTTGCTAAAATCACGTTTCCGATGATTGTTTCTTGCTCAACACTGAGAATTGGCCCATATTTATTTTACCTTGAGAAATTTATTACTCAATTGAACACAACAGAAAAAAATGGTAGGTCACCATACCGGTTTTCGAGAAAATGACGATTTACCTCTATGGCGAGGTCCAGCCGTAAAGAAAAAGCCGCCATTTTTTAATGCGCGCGCTAATCACGCGTGAAATTATGCGCAGTAGGGAGCGCAATGCAATACTGGGGAATAACCTTAAAAGTATTTGTCTTTAGTCGAGGGATACAGGACTACAAGGAATTAGTTTCTTCCTTTTTAGAGCGGGTGAAGTTTCTGCGCCGAGACAGTGCTATGGTAGTTAGTAAACATAGCTTACCTCCAAATGACTGCGCAGTGTCTGGATTGTCTGATACGGCAACAGAGAACTAACAGTGTGAAAAAAGGATGAGTGTTTTAGATCTAAAGCGATCACAATAACAACAATGAAGCGAAACTCACAGGCTTACATGCTTGACAAGTTGTTGAGAAAACGGCTCAGAAAGGTCAAATAAAATGTCCCTACTTAACTTAACGTTTGTTTTTCTTTTAGTGGTTGATGCGCTTCTCGTCTGAACAAGTTTGTAGAACAGTACGTATTGTTCTAAGAGGTATTGTTTGGCGGTTTGTTTTTTCCTTGATTTTTCCAAATGGTTGATGGAGCCTTCTTGATCTTGTGCCATTTCGAATTTATCAGTGGCAATTTTAAACCAATTCGGATCACACAGCGAGCGAAAATATTTTTCATCGTTCAGTATTCCAAAGAGTATACTAACTTGTTAGTGAGTGAACATTGCAGTTACGGGTGATTGCGTTTGTTGGGCAGTTGCGGAAGGAAACAGCCTTTGTTTGAGTGTTGTGTTCTTGCTCAGTTTGCATTCGTTATTATATTAGCAGTAGTAAAGAGAACAAATTTATGTTCAGCATTTAATACAGGATGAGTGAAAATTAAACGAATGTATAAAGCTAAATTGCTTGAAATTGTAATCCCTTGCACGTTTCAATCGTGATGGTGGCTTTATTGAGCGAAATTATATATTTCAAGAGACCTCTTTAGCTTGGGCGGTTTGTGTTCCCATTACAGACCTCGTGATGATACTCTTGAGAATTCTTGCTTTCAAATTTTTAAATAGTCGCATGTATTTTAATGAATAATTTTAAGATGGATAAAAGAAAAATTATCTAGAGAACATTACGTGGTCTACAATGGAAAAAAAAAACCGCCTAAGCTAAAGAGGTCTATTATTTTCAACGCAGTGAAAAAATCTTTACCTATTCTAAGAACTAAACAACGCAAGTATTCACAGATAATCAAAGTGGCGATTAAATCAAGAAAGATTGTCTTAGTGTTTACATGATGCAAGGAAATCCAGTGTTAATTTCGCTTATAGAACGAGGAATGTTTGACTGTTGATTCCATTTTGAGAGCTTAAGTGATTTGATGAGGAATATTTTACCGGTCGTGAATTCTGAAGTTTAGCCTTATTTTCAACAAAATGACAAAGTCATTATTTATTCGTTTCATGAAATAATTTACGTATCCACAACTAACCAAAGTGGCGATTAAACTAAGAAAGTTTGCGTCATTTTCCTGCACTGATAAAACAGGTACTTTTCATAAAAAACGACACAACCCTTAGATGTGTATAAACATTACCTACTCATAGTCTTACACTGAATGTGCCAAATTAATATTGATTTTTATGTCTTTTACAATATCAAGAACTGTTACAAAAAAAAAAATTATAATGCAGTTTATTCCTCAAAAACGTTGCAGGCAAACAATTATTTGCTCGATCATGGATGTTTCCAGTTTGTTTTACTCGTGGCAGACAACGATTCAATGAATTAATTTATCTTGAATATTATGTATGTTGAGCCTGTGGAGCTTGTTTATCAAGAACTCAAATAGACCGTGAACAAGCTGTTTTGTCTTCTTTTTCTGATTTTTGAAATACTACGACTGCACATAGTTTTGTGGTTTCACCAAAGACTTGTGAAAATGAATTCTCTGTCTAACACGCATAAATGTTCTTGGTAAAGTTGGAATCGAGTGTAAAGCTCAATTTTTTTGGAGCAGGAAAAACGTTTAACACAATAACAAAAAGCTACAGCAAATAATTAAAAAAATCTACAACATGAGTCAAACAATTCTCGAGCATTCAATATCGGCATTAGACTTCCCACAAGTCGACCTTTTCTTAATCCTTCCCGTGTTCATCTCCCTCCAGCGGGGCAAGGAGACAATTTTGAAGCGACGAAGTCGCGTGCTTTCAACGGCTAAACCAACAGGCCACGGAGAAGTATTATTGGGAGAGGATTTCTAGAAAGTCTATATCGGCAATCTCACTGGTCTTTGTCTGGAGCGAAATTTTTGACTTGTTACTTCCAACATATCTCTGGAATTTTTAGAAGACGTACAAAGCGATTTAGTTTTAAAGCAGCTTACCCTGAAAATACTTAACGGTCAACAAATCATCTGGTCGATAGTGGATGTTTATCGTTTCTTTTCATTCAGTGGCAGTCATAAAGTCAATCAATTAATTTATCTTGAATGTTTCTGGGTTTTTGAGCCTGTTTCCCAAGAACGCAAATAGATTGCCCTCGTATCCTCTTTCTCATTTTTAAACCAAAATTAGCGATACAATGATTAACATTGAAGTTAGTTTACCGTGCTCATTTTCTTGTCGCTTACTAATTCAAGAGTAATTATTTAGTGCTTTAATATATGCGTTTGGTATCACACGCACTTTTTGAGCTGTTTGAATAATCAAGATAAACTAAACTCCACCTTCAGTCAGTTAGCTTTTCTAATCTAAAGTAAAATGAGTGAAAAATGTGTCATTACAAGTCGACCTTGAAGCTAAGTCGCGACAAAGAGAAGTCAGGAAATTCTGACGTAGAAAGGACTTTGCCGCGAAAGTCAGTTCTAGGCGATTATCTACATTCCCATTCCTATCGATTACCTTTCGTCTCACACTTATTACCTTCACTTTTTTCTCCCTCTGTTTGCTTTATTCCCACTCACTCCGTTGTTTTAAATAAATAAAATAAATATGATAATAAAATAACTTTATTTACATGTTTACTTAGTGTCAAGTGTATTCAGAAATGGTCTATTGTAGTGGGTCCATTTTGGTGATTTAACATAAACAATAGCCCTTTTGTTATTAGAAGCGCCGAGTTTCCGAAGCTTAGCGAGGAAACTTGTGATCATCGGAAAAATTGTCGGCATGACAAATTAGCTACCTTAGAGGAGTGAGGAGTGTAATTTTTGTTATCACAAGATCAATGTCCACCGGGGGAGCCCAAAGGGACACTTGACCGGCTGATCGAAGACACTGTAAGTAAGTAAACAAATGTTGCAAATAGAACATAATTTATTAAGAATCCTAACTGGTGGGAGGCTGACCAATTGGCTATTTACACAACGCGCTGGAGGAGTTGAAACTCTTTGCACCATTTCCTTCACCCTCCTCTTCCCTAAAAGCCTTGCCCCAAATGCCTGGCATTTTGTCCTCGCCTTAACTCCCTCACCAAAGTGCCAGTCCTAGCTGTTTGTTTTGCCTTAGTTTCCCTCGTCCTTCTCTTCCCCTTATAGTCTCGTTCCATTCACTTGTCTTTCATTTTGTCTTGCCCCAAATTCCCCTGCCCTCTCCTCCCTCTAATAGCCTCGCCTCATTCTCTTGCCTTCCTCTTTGTCTCGTCTTTTAAATTCCCCCGCCCTCTCATCCCCTTTTAGTCTCGCCTCATTCCCTTGGCTTCCTTTTTTTTTCCTCCTGATTTTCCTTCCCTCTCTCCTTTATAGTCTCGTTCTAGATCTATTCTCATGTAAGTTACAGTTTGTTTCGCCCGAATTTCCTCGAAATGTTCTCTCCTTTATGGTCTCATCCCAATCACTTGGCTTCCCTTTTGTCTCACGAAATTTCCTCGGTCCCTCCTCCCCCTAATAGCCTTGGCCTATTCATCTGGCTTACATTTCGTCCCGCTGTGTTTTCACTTTCGGCGGATATTTCCCCACCTCTCCTACCCTAGTGCGGGCCCTAGGGTTTTATTCAGGTGAGTAAGACCCCGGAAAGGATAACCTGCATGCAGAAAGCTTAACTGTAACAGGGACCAGAGTGGATCATGGAAAAGAGGGTCGTGATTTCTCTTTTACAATGACATTAAAAAAATACCAGAAAATTTAATTTATCATTGTGGTAAAGAATAAAAAATTGACGATTTATAACCTTCGGATCGGAAATTTTTTCTTTTTTCCCACTTGACATGACTAAAGGAAAATTGGATCATAGTAATTTAAACTTGAGTTTCATGAGGAACATACGCAAACACAGTAAAGTGTAGTTAAGTAACGCCATTTGTTACGAAATTTTCTTAAAAAGTCGCTGATCATCAACATCTTACTGCGTGCACTGGTGAAAACAAGCTCAGTGATTGCTGAGATCTGAATAAACACAATCATTCTTTTGTTGCTGTTGTTGTTGCTGTTCTCGTTGCCACGCACGGAATAATCCCACGCGTAAAAATAAAAAAAAGAAAACCGTTCATTCTTCTTAGAGGGCCTTGATGAAGTTGAACAGATACTTCAGATAAGACGTGTTTTTTTTTTTTAATAATAGCAGAGGTCTCAGGCCTGCAAAATTAAGTTATAGCTGAGAATTGGGAGAAAATTAAACTGACAACTTAGACTAGCAGATTATGTCACCCAGACCCTATTCAAGATCATGTTTCTGCAAGTAGAATTAGTGTGTTCATTCTTCTTGGTTTTGTGCTTATGCCAGTGCTTGTGTCGCTGCCGTCCTCACTAGCTTATGCTTATGCTTGTGATTATTTTGCTAATGAAAGCTACACCTAAAAAGAGAGAAATAACCGCCTTTTTTCAGGTAACAGCACATGAGCGCGTGCGCGTAGAAAACGTAAGAGATTTCCCTCAAACTAAGCTCGATAGCGAAATAAATGCTCATTTTCTCTTAAACGAGCATGGTGACCCCCAATTTGTTTTTGAGGTATTTGCTAAGAACAGTCTAATAAAGGGCATATTTGAAGAAGAAAAAAGTTTGATAGTAGAACATGACTTTTTTGGAAAATAGTTCCGTACTGGGTGTATTTTGGCCAAGGCGAGGACTTCAAGCTAACCACGGAACTGTCCGAAAAATTGCAATATTCCCACTACCAGGCAATCAAAAACGGCTTAAATGAAGCAATACTGCTTATGTGAAGAACTGAAGCTTTGCTTTCAAGATAAAATTTTGTGTCTTTCAAGTAACCAAGACTTGAAGGTGATTTGAATGGTATGAAGGTGATTCGAATTTTTAACGCGCAACCAGTAAAAATACCCCATTTTAAGAACCTGCTGACGCGTAAACAAGCACGATGACCCCATTTTTTATTGCATTTTTTTAATGTTCATATCATGAATGTTAATTATGCCAAATTTCAAAAAAAGTTTGATAGTAGAACAATTTCAAGGGAATTACCTTAGGGCGGAAACGACACTATCTCCTGACGGAAGCGCTCGTTCCTAACCCCCCTCGAGGTGGGCTGGATAACTGTATTATCTTCGTCCGCCATCTAAACCGTTAAGAAAACGAGAGAAAAATGACAAAGTCAGATCGAAAGAGGCTGTGGAATTTCAGTACATTTTAACGTGAAAGTACAAGATGGGTTCCTGGTAATTTTAAAGATATCAGTTTTAAGGTGAAACACGACAACGCAGACCTACCATTCTCAATATCACCACCTTTCTTTGTTATGTCAGTGAACTGACATGAACTGAACTCTCTTTTATTTCTGTTTCTTTAAAATGTAGATCACTCTGTGTTTGTCACTCTAGAATTTTCACTTTACTAAACGATGGTTTTGCTCCAATATATGCATAGATTTGCATGGATACTTTCAAGAACTCGCGAATTCGATTGCAGTAAGAAAAGAAACTGCAAACTCAGAGCACACGCTTCTTCAGTTCTAGGGTATTCAATTACCTCTTTTAAGTCGTGGATACGCGAAGCGTAGAAACGACTATTAGTATGGGGCAAAATATGCAAACGTGTCACTCACTGAGATGTAAACTTTTGGCCGATAACATGGAGAGCCTGGGTACGACTTTTCTCGGAGATTGAGCGCGGCCATTTTGGTTCATGTGTTTCGCTTTTGTAAATATGTAGTATTTTGCCCAGGGCTTTTGCTCACGCGTAGATGAAAGCTGAGAGAGGTATTTATGACTGTGATCATGTACTGGTCACAACAGCGCGGTAGGCGAGGTCAAAGAATTGTTACCAGTCAAAGTCAGGAAATGAGATCGTGTTTACCAGACGTGGCTCATAGCTTTTTTCTTGGGTAAGACTTCCAAGGTAAGCCTAAGGTAGCATGTTTCTGTATTGTGTTTTTTTATGTACACATCGAAATTCTGGCGGTGCTGGTATCTTAAATTCGAAATTAAAACCGTGATTTAATTATTTTGTATTTTAAAATAAGCTTTAATTCACTTCAAGCAAAAAATTCAAATTGCTTAATCTTTTAATTTTGTTGTTCTTCACACTACATTTCTTCTGTATTCTATGCAGTTCGACCAGAATGAGCATTTCTTCAGCATCGACGATCGAGTAAATATGCTCTAAAATTTGATTGATAGATGGACAAATTAGCATTCAAGAGATTGTGTAGATCTAGTTTTTGTGAGAGAGATTTACTGTCCAAACATGTCAAACACAAACCATGTCAAACAAGCATAGTGGCTGGTTATGTATGTACAATCTTATTTTTGGTCTAGAAACGAGATACATAAGCAACTGTAATCAAAACTTGAAATAGTTTTGAATATTTCTGCTTTGCTAGTGAAATGAACACAAACAATTCCCAAGATAGGAATAAAATAATGTGATCTCTAGCTGTTTCCAAGAAAGAAGCTGTTGTTATTTTTATTGTTTACGTTACAATCTGCAATACCCTTTTTATTTTGTATTGCATCAAGCTGAGGGGACTCCCTATAGTTGACTCAAGGTACACTCTCTATCAGGCGGGAAGTATGAAAAAAAGGCAGGGATTTTAAACATGCATTGCTAATTTACCCACGAATAGAGAAGTAATGAGTCTACTGTAGATATGTGAAAGGGGTTTCAAGTTTAAAGCTACATGTCTATAAAAGGGTAACCTGTTCTGAAAAAAAAACCGCACTATACAAAAGGGAAAGTATATTTACCTTGGGGCAGAGCCTCCTTGTGTAAAACTTGGTAAGGTCCCTTTTCCCAACCCCCTGGGCATAGTTACGTGGAGAAAACTTATATAACTGTGAACAAAATCATCCCCTTCACTTTGGGTTCAAATTCGATAAAACCTTTTTGGTACAAGATGTAGCAGGGGATTTCATGGAAGAGTATCATTTTCAGCCAGGCTTTTTCAAGTAGCCCTTTCTGGGAGGAATGCTGAAAACTGTTTGAAATGATTCTTGTAATATTTGCAGAAATACTTTTCTCTCTATTCCCACTTAACAGCTAGCTAAAATCAAATTGTTCATGTTTGCTTTGCCTAACTAATTAAAATATTTATATACATAAATTTTTTATTATTAGGCAGGGAGACCACTACAGCCTAGCCAATTACAGTGGATCTGTGTCCCGCTAAAGTAAAATTGTGCAAAATATTCTTGGCATTCTCAAGCTGATTGTCTTAAAATAATAAATGACATCATGGCATCATGTGACATATGTTCTGCATAATTGCAATACAGCCTTTTCATAATGCAACACTCGAATGTTAACTTAAGAAGCGCCACAACCAAATTACCTTGACCCAAAATGCACTGCTCAGTGACTCACTAATGTTATACAGATGATGACCAACAACTCTAACTGGGTGTTAATTTGGGACTGGTGATTAAGGTGAACTTTTATTTAATGGCGTTGTGCAACAGACTGTAGAAGTCCATTGACACTACATGTACAAGTTAAGGTAAAAATAATTTTTTTCCAATGCCAATCAAAATTAATTAATATATTCCATTTTAAAATTTATAAGCAGTCTGAATAAACAGCCTGTAATTTGATTTTTGTTTGCTTGCCTAGTTACACTGCACATGCACTACCTGAGCTTTCAAAAAGGCTTTCAAAAAGTCATTTCTATAAACTAATTATAGATCAAGTAAATGTATGCAGGCAATGTATCAACGACTTCTTCATAGTTTCCTTTGATTTGATTTGATTTTCATTTCCCTTTAACTTTATGCTCTACATCGTTCTGGAAACTGACTTTGTTCCTTAGAATACCTGATTTCAGAAGTTTATCACAAGCTTTTTTATAAACGTTCCTACGTTGGTCCAGATGGTATCTAGGAAAATAATACTCCGAAAATATGACAAAACGTTCTCCCTAGTTCTTTCTCTGGTAAACGAGTTTCTAGCCTGAGTGAAAAGTCGGCAAGCACATTTTGAACATGGTTGCCTGTTGAATGCAATCCTCTTACAGTTAACTTAGCATAGTTGATACAGTTCCTACCTTGTTCCTGTTGCTATCAACTGAAGGAAAATGATGCATCAGCGATGTAACAGAACTTTTTATTGGTCTACAGTGAGTGAGTTCCATGTGAAAACAAGTTTTGCCTATGTTTACTTGTAAAATGCAAAAATAAGACCAGCAGAATTATTGGCTGGTTCAGGTTTAAATCGACCAATGACATGGACTCCTCCATTTTATGTATTCTTTTCTTTGTTGTCAAGATAAACGTGTTTATACACGTTCGAAGTTTAATTTAACAGACCTGCAGCCTTATTGGTTACATTTATTCTCAATCAACCAATGAAATAGACTCTTATTCTAAATATACTTTCCTTTGAGGTAATTATGCACGTGGTGTGACAGTTTGCAAATTTAGCGTTAGCAAGAAAAGGAAGAAAAAACAATTTACTCGTTGAAATCCACTTTCAAACTGACCTTGGTGGGAAAGTACTCTTTGCGAAAGAGCGATGTTGATGAAAGTGGACAAAGTTCGAAAATTCCGAATTCTCGTAGTTTTGTTGGACCTCCGGGCTTTAAACTCCTGAATTTATCTGCATGTCCATTTGCCTGGAAGTTTTTGCGTATCATCTTAATTTTGCTCCGTTTTAGATTAATTCTACCTTAACGAATTCAGCAATATTTCGTCACTTTCGGAAAATATTCACAGTTTTTGGATACAGTCTAATCAAAGTTGTTAATGTAATAAGTATAGATAAAGAACTTTTGGACTTGAATTTTTCACGTCTTAGGTTTGTTTGTTTTTTTTCTTTTCACTCAACATAGATGAAGGAAAATTGCACCTTAGTAATTGAAACTTATGTTTGTGACAAAAAATTAACACGACAGAAACGTTTCATTTTAAAATAAGCATGTGCATGGAAAGAGAAGTTCTTAACCTGACTCAGAAAGAAAATACGAAGTTGTTAAATTGCACCAAAAGTGATTCACATGAAAGGGACTTTCTCCGAAAAATGAATTTATTTTTGTATGTTTAAAGTGTTTCTCTGCACCGAGAAAAGTAATTAAAGTAATTACTAAACACTGAACTCAGTTGAATAAGAAAACTAAACAAATTACCTCTTAAGTAACTCAGCGTAACAGCACAGACTAAAAGGTAGAAACGAAAAGGAAAATGTGTGTAAGATGTAATTCAAAAACGAGCGAAAATGTAACTGCAAAATGTAAAAATGTAAAACTTATTGAAAGTCCCTTTCATGCCAAAGATTAATAACTAAAATGATAACTTACATTGTCAGCTTCTTGTATCGTTATTCAGGCTAAGCCGCACACTACTTCTCCTTTCTTTGTTTAATGAATTTCTTGTAAGATCAAGTTTGCCAAACAAGGTAAATTCTAATACGTGATGCTATCGGTCAAAACACTTTGTTTAACGTTCAGTCATGGTTTTGTCCAATAGAATGAAGCCTTCCATTCTTGTTCATTTTTGTTTGTCACGTTTAGTTTCCTTACTACTGATGAAATTATCATAACATACGCGAAATTACGAGGAAACTCGTGGTACTTAGATCCCTTAATATGAAAATTTTCACTGTCTCCGTTTGGTTTGAAATTAAAAAACAAATGTCAGTCTTGAAACCAGATTATAACGGCAGTCTTAGACCTAACTCAAAAATCTGATAGAGTAGTCAAGGTTTAGCCTTTTCAATTCTTACACTGATGTGATTCACGTTTTTTTTTTTTAACTAGAACGAACATTAAACTAGAACCATCAAGAGCATGAGCAAAATAATAAAGTATCTTGACTCAGAAAACAGGCTGGGGCTCATTATCTAACAACTTATCTCATTCTGTAAGAATCATTCTTATTGGATGCTACTGTTTTGTGAGCAAAGGAAAACTTTGCTTATAGGCTCGTTCTTTCTATTTTGAATCTCAAATTTAGTTTGTTATTTAGAATACTCGAAAGAAAGCTACTTGACACATTTTGGTCGTAAATTAATTTTTTTTTTCAGGGCACTAAACAACTGAGCAGTTCTTTTCCGAGAGTTTGCCATCTTGAATGTAATAATGCAGGCGTCTGTTGTAAGTGATCTTATTTTAAAGCTCGTGAAAATAATTCATTCTTGCTTACAGAAACAAGAATTGGTTTAATGTGAGCATATGACCAAATTATTTATATGTGAAATGCGATTACTTGAATTTGATAGTTTCTCCCAATCAGTTTTGGTGGAGCCAAACATTAATCATTTTCTATTTTCATATAACTAAAGACAAATTTTTAGCTCGACATCTGAACATTTAGTAAACTCAATTAAACGTATCTAAATATATTACCTTTGAAGTAATTAACACAGCGTTTCACTTGTTTTTTTCAGCAGAAACAGCAAAAAACTAAAATTTAGAAGAGAAAAAAATAGAGTCAGTGAGGGTTAACAACAAATTAAAACGAACAATGGTCTGAAATAAATAACCAGAACGGAATGAAAGCTTACATCGTCAGCTTCTTGAATGCTTGAGATATGTCGCTTGACAAAATTGGAGCTAAATGTTTTTCAAAGCGAACAAACGTTTGCTCTTCTTTATTTAAAGAAGTTCTCGTTAGAACAAGTTTGTGACGCAATATGTAAAAAATTAAAAAAAAATCAAGGTTTATTCTAACGGGCAGTGTTATTTGCTAGAACGCTGTTTAGTTTTGAAAGGTCCAATGGGACGAGGCTTTATATTTTTGATGTATTTCTTCAAGTTTGATTTGTGAGCGTTAATACGTGCGAAGGTAAACATAATCTTCTGTCAGTTTTTGGGCAAACAATAAAACTGATTTCCCTAAACTTAAAACAATTATTTTCAAAACTTGAGCTTAGAAAATGTATTCACTAACAGAAAACATTGTTGCATGAGTCAGAACTCGATCATCTTTCATTCTTGATTCAAATAATTGAAATGAACGAAACAGAAGTTTGACTAAAAGATAATTAAATCATTCTGAGTATCATTAATGCCCTTTCAATTAGGAAAAGACCCCTCTCTTATCTGTACTGAAATGGCAGGAACATTTCTTTATGAGATAATGTTATTAACGGCCAGTCAGTGTATCGAAATTTCCAAGTCTTGGATCGTTCCATATTGACTGAATTTTTGGCAGCAAAACTGGCACACTTGTTTGTTAACGTTTCGCTTGTCACTGTTGTTTTCCATTCCAATATCGATCAAGCATAACTATAGCCTTCAAATTTCTAGTAGGTCTACAAGCTTGATCACCTTGATGGGTCAGCTGTAGGGGCATATTTATGGAATATCTTGACTCTCGTTCTCTCGCACCAGTAGTAATTAAGTTGATCTTTCGGGCCTGTATGTTTGTTATGGTTCAAGCAAACTGTAAGCAGTCCATGTTTAATATTTGCACTGTTTAATTTGAATTTGCTAAGGCCTTAGAGCAGTATTAAAGAGACTGGGCATTCTTCAAGGTGGGTCCCACGGCAGCTTTTTCAGTTGAAGGCGAAAACGAACTCGTGTGTAGAGGCATGTTTTCTATCTAAAGGATGACTTAATTTTAATAGCGAAATTATGGTGGTTATCAAAATGACAAAAGTTCATCACCATGTGTGCGAAAATCTGAATATCTAATTCACTGTCAGAGCAAACTCTCGTTCTTTCATTCATATACCAAAAGTAATTTCAAGATAAATATATTTTCAAGTGAAAGTGTTTTAATCCGTTAAAGAATCGAACGGGACGAACTCTTAATCATGGCTATAGTTCACTAGGATTACGAAAACAGTAATTAAGATTAAAACTTTGATTGTGCATAATTCTTATTAACGACATTTTTTTTTTCAGTCATCTTAAAGCCAGATTTTACTTACTAAAACAGATCATTGGACGAATCTAAAGACAGAACATTCTATAAAACTAAAATAAGGACCTTTTGAAGTGGAAAAGGCAAATTTATCATTAAAGCGCACAGTATAACCTGAAAATTAATTTTAATTAGAATTATCAATTATTATTATTAAATTGTCCAAGACAAAATGTACCCTCGCGTTCAACTGAATTTCACGCGACACCGCGAAAATAAAACTCGTCTAAACTTCTAGAAAGTGCTGAAGTAAAAAATAGACTGTATCTTATTGATATTGAGTTTTACGGACTAGACAGAAGATTGTATTCAAGGCGGTTTGCTTGGACATGTTGCATCGAACGCTCGTATCAGTGTGTTCGTCTTGTTACTGAATGTAAAGAACATACAGACACTCAATTTGGGTCACTGGAGAAGATTTTAAACCTGGTTTTCAACAAGCGTAAGCACAAGCGCAAGCAATAGGGATGACCCAAGTGAAAACGAAATTCGACGTAAACAAAAGCACAAGTAAAATCAGCCGAACCTTCCAAACTGTTTAGGCGCGAGGTTATAAGGATCCAATGATTTCATTGGCTAAACATAACCACGTGTGGTAAATATGAATTATTATGTTTGCGCTTGTCCTTGCGTCGCTGGTGAAAACCAGGCTAGCTTAAGTGGCCAAACATAAAGTGTTTGATTTAGCTTCATTGTTTTTACTGCTAGATGGAATTTTCTTGATCAACATTCGCTTGCCAAATATCAGTTGTAAGTTAATGCTCTTACCTGCCTACTTAATGTTCAGCTGGAGTCCATACGATGACAAGAATTGCTGGCGATAAGGCCATTAGTGATCCCTGGAATTACTCGATTATGATCGCCTTTAAAACTTGTCGTTCGCGTATGAAATCTCTATCACGTTCCGGATTACTCTTTCCCTGAAAAGCAAGTAGAAGCCATGCGCCATAACATCGTCGATTTCTGTTTGCCCTTCAGATTTCCTCATGATAGGAATAACACGAAAAAATCCCTTGACAACGAGGGAATTTTTCATAATTCTAAAAGAGCAAAATGTTTGCTTGACAAAGTCTTTCTTTGACAATATTTTTTATGACGCAAGGTTCGTGTTCCTTCCAGTTCCTTATTTACCATGCGTCCATTGTTTTCAATAGTTCATTACGAATACTGACGTTTACGTCATACGTGTGTACATGCATGAAAGCTCTTCTCCGTATCCAGTGAAAAAGGTTATGTTCGTTTATATTTGTTTTCTCATCTCCAAACGTCAAGTTATGTTCAAATCAAAATTAGTGATACAATAATTAACTATGAAGTTAGTTCACCGCACTCATTTCCTTGTCGTTTACTAATTCAACAGTAATTATTTCGATGGTAAAGACCTTTAATATATTCGTTTGATATCACACGCGCTTTTGAACTGCTTGAATAATCAAGATAAACAAAACTCCATCTTCAGTCAGTCAAGGACATCAATATCTAGATCACTTTGATATTTTATACAAAAATAGAACTGAGTGATAGATATATGTTTACAAGTCGACTTCGAAGCTTAGTCGGCGAGTTTCTACGAGACTTACTACGAGGGAAGAAGTTAAGGGCGAGCTGCTAACGAAGACATCGAGCGAGGAAAGCAAGCGAGAAAAAACTACAAAAGAAAGGACTTTGCGAAATTGTAATTCAAAGCGATTATTACTCGACCTGCCCTAGCTGTTCTTTTTTTCCCTGTGTTAGCTCCATTCCCACTCACATTCCCTACCTACTGCTATCACCTTCTCCTCCCTCACTTAGCATTACACCCACTACCTTGGGTTACTTTTTGTCCACTACTATAACCCTCGCCCATCTCCCCTGGTTTTCTTCTTGTCTCGCCCCAAACCCTGTCCTCGCTGTGGGTCACGCTCTAGTTTCCCTTGCCCTCTCCTCCCCCTTGTACTTTCTTCCCGTTCCCTTCGATATCATTTTATATCTCGCCCTAGTTCCCTGGCCCTTTTCCTCGTCGCCTGCTTTTAGCGTACTTTTTGTCTCGTCCCAGTTTCTTTTGCCGCTCTTCTCTCCCTTACAATCTCGCCCCATTCTCTTACGGCTTAATATTTGTGTCGCCCTAGCGTATTACTCCCCCTTTAAATCTAACTCTTTTCTCTGGCCTTACTTTTTGTCACGATCCAGTTTCCAAGGCCTCCTTTTCTCTCCTCCCTCTTATAGTCTCTTCCCGTTCCCTTGATTTACTTTTTGCCTCTCTTCAATTTCTTTCGCTCTCTCCTCTCTCTTAAAGTTTCACCCAATTCTCTTCGCTTCTTTTTTGCCTCTCCAGTTTCTTTCGCCCTCTCCTCCCTCTTATAGTCTCACCCAATTCTCTTGGCTTACTTTTTGCCTCTCGTCACTTTCTTTCGTCCTCTCCTCTCTCTTAAAGTCTCACCCCATTCTCTTCGCTTCCTTTTTGCCTCTCCTCAGTTTCTTTCGCCCTCTCCTCCCTCTTATAGTCTCACCCAATTCTCTTGGCTTACTTTTTGACTCTCTTCAGTTTCTTTCGCCCTCTCCTCCTTCATATAGTCTCGTCTCATTCTCTTAGCTTCAATTTCCTTCGCCTTATCGTCCCCTTTCTGGTCTCGCCCCAATCTCACCGGGCCGGATCTTAGCTTACAATTTTGTCTCGCTCCAAGCCGCCATGCTTTTTCCTCCATCCTTTAGTTTTGGCCTATTCCTTTACATTACCTTGCATGATATATACTTAAGACTATAGGTTAGAGAAAATTTATCGAAAAAAAAATAGTCAAAATAAACAAAAATCGAATGAGTCAAATGATCATCTGTTCTCTGTCCGTTATCGTTTTCCACCTAAAGAAAAGAGTTTGACTCTTGGGAAATTTCACACCCAAATGGTTTTAAGCGTCAGAATTTGGTCCGTACTTTAAAAGGAGCTTGACAAGCCGGATTGAATGTTGCCTAATTCTCCTGGTTTTCTTCATATAGAAGCTCTATTTAACAAATAAAGAGCTTAAGCCATGTGTTACATTGTAATAAACACGACGGGCATTTGAGAACACGCCTGCAGCTTGTGTTTTCTACATTTCTCGAGTGTTCTCAATGTCTGGAGCGTTTTATCACAGTGTAATACACGGCTTAGGCTTCTTCATTTGCTTTATGACGTAGAGGTAATGTGGTGATAAACAATAAAACACGCTTTTTCTTTGTTTTATAGTCTGATAAAACATGGGTTTTTGACCAATCAGAGCGCGCACAGGGTCCTATCTATATTATAAAGGTATATGTGCTTCAAAGGTAGATATATAAACACCACCGAAATGGATCAGCATAGGAATGGATTAATTTACGTTTTTTGAGCTGTGTTAGTCTGAAATCGGGTATAGTTTGAAAAAGATCTGCAAGACAGGCATATTTAAAATCGTTGGACAGAATTTTGAAAAGGACCGGGAGCAACGTAAAAGACAAGAGAATGAGCTCTTCACAATGAGCTCTTCAATGAAATCTCTTCAGGGTGTGTAAAGAACAACAAAGTAAATCACATCTTTACCACTTTCACTAATGACATTGACAACCAATGTTCGTGTACACCTTTAATTTCATTTTCTGTTACATTTGTGCACCTTTCTAATCTAACGCCATTTCTTTCCCGTTCCCAGCTAAACGTTCAGCAGCTTTGTTGGGTCTCCACGTTGTTTTGCGCAGGAAGGGTTGCACCAAGCTGGAGGATTTTTCTCCCAGTAAAGATGGCCAGCCGTTTGAACAGCTTTGTGGTAGACGTCTGCACCAAACGTTTTACACCTCTTCACTTTATCAGCCAGCTTCTTCAGAAAATCCGCCACAGAAGAAAACAAAAAGCGTTTTCCTTTGACGGAGTTCTCGCACAGTTTGTACATGTCGCGTTTAAACGCGTCGTCACACTGCGCTTGGTTCCATCCATAGTGCTCACCCTGTGAACAGCGCAGATAGTTAGATATAATCCAAGGCCCCGCCCACACTACGCCAGAGAAATTTGGAAACGGCGTTTCCACTCTGAAAACGCATCAAATGTGTAAATGTTTTCCGTCCACACTACGCCGGAGNAGCGAAAGCAATTGAGTAAATTACTGTATTAAATATTTTGAACAAAAGACATGAAAAAGTCTTGTGTATGTTTATATCATGATGGAAAATCTTAATTAAATTGCTGCAGTAGCCATGTAATAAACCGTTAAGTGCATTGCGTGCAACATCAGCAAAAAAAGAAATTGTCTACATAGGAAAACTTCTTTCCCCCTCCCCCGTCAGAAAAAAGTTAATCACTTGGTCCGGAAGTGACGAAGGAAAGATTGCGTTACACTCACTAGACCGAGATTTACGTTAGATTTACGTCTTGCGCTTCAGCCTCGTTCCCAGGGTCTCTTATCTTACCGCCCCCTGGCTCGCTCCAGGGGGCGGTAAGATGAGAGACCGTGGGAACGAGGTTGCTTGTGCTTACGAATTTTTTTATTATACAAGAAATTAAATGAATATCAAGAGGTTGCTCACTGAGAGGTAGATATTGCAACATATGGATTGATTTTCCGGATAAGTGTTGCACAAGCTTAGCCTGGAACCGGCGTAGAAGCTCGATGTCAAGATATGACCCTAAATTATAAAGCGCGGCGGCAAGAAATCAATGGAAAAACTAACTGAGAATATCAAAATTATTTGCCTTCAAACACCCATTTGGAAGGCAAGCCGTCATCGAAGCATTATCTCAGGTTTACTAGGTAGTTTTAAAGGAAAATGGCAGGGTTTTTCAACGGTTTGTTCAGAAAGCGAGCTAAGGCTAGTCGAATTGTTTACATTTCCTGATTAAACAAAATCTCCTCGAAAGGTCAAATTGGGTCAACTTGCATGGGGTCGCTCGCCTTAGAAATAACTTTTGCCAAGAAAAAAATTATATCATGTTCAAAAACAGCTCTTTTACTTGCCAGAATCGAATTTTGAAAGAATTCGACATAATACCGAGTATGTTTTGAGATATTTGAAAACGGTATGGAATTTTTGATTTTCAAAGTCTAGAAACTTCGTTTCTCTTCGCTTGCTCTCCAGGAATTCGGAATTACAATTGTAAGTCTAAAATATCATCAAAGCAACTTAGAAATACCTCCTAAATAAAATTATAAACTAAGGAGAACCATAATTTGCTATGCGCCTTCACGCGAGTTCGATTATCTGGTCGAGAAATTTGACCTCATTTCTGTGATTTTTCGGCGTGACGGGTTGTGGACGGTTTTTCGTAATTTTCTCAAAAATGTAAAAACTCTAGAACCTAAGACTTATATCACGATTCTTAGCATACCATAAGTTATCTCTGGACGAAATATTAAGGGGTCCACTTTTCCAACCTTGTGCCACATTTTTTCAATCTCATTCGGTCCCTATAGAGAGTCGCTCTTAAGCTCCCTGTTCTTGATCTCGGTCATTTACGAAGCCCCAAATAACATATGTGAAACACAGCTTGATATGTGCCCTTTTACAACGTCTTATCGTATCCAAATTCGCAATTAGCCAATCAGAGGCCGTGTCTACTGTTCTGATATCCTACGATATCAAGTCACTGACCTGATAAGGCTACGATATGATGCTCACTTGGCCGAATTTGGGTACGGTAAATACCTAACAGTACCTTCTTGGTACGCTTCGACTTCAGGCCCGTTTGGTCTTGCCATAGGAACCATGGCTCGACCAAAACTCGCCTGATATTCCTCCGAAGGTACGATCATATAGGTATAAATATTGCACGAATCAGCAAACTCGTGCTGAATCTTACACAGCTATAGCAGACATCGTGTTTGACGCAGGCTGGAGTGAAAGTCTTTTTGTAAATGAACGGAAGGTTAAACGGTACACTGCAACCATTAGTCTTTATGTAGCAGTTGGACTGTGACGTCACTTCCGGGCTCATCAACAGGATCATCAGCAAGATGGTGGCTAGAATTGGTACCATTCTCATTTCGACTCTATTAAGAGATGAAAGATAAAAAGATAAAAATTCGACATTTTTAAATTCATTGTAAATCCATCTGGCGCCATTTGATAGAGCGGACTAAATGTCTTTCACCTCAATGAATTCTGCAGTAGGAAGTGTTTTGTGGTATCACCGCTAGTTTAGCTTCGAAACGAATTCCGCTCATTCAACTGGTCAGACAACCTCATATATTTCAGTATCTTGCGAAGAAATTCTAGTTTTTCTCAGAAATCACCTTATATTTCAACTGCTTTCAAGTGTCCGGGTATTTATAAATCCGAACAAAACCTGATGTTGGCCTCTGGTGTTTTAGTTCAAACTTTAAATTGTGTAAGTATCTTACACCCTCTGCACCCTACCCCTTCTGTTAGTTCTTTCTTAGTGATAGTGGAATATAGTTCGTGACTAAAAAAAAATAAAACGTACACGCGGGACACAGTCTCGATGATATTCCTGTAATTTTGGTCAATACCGTGCTTAAGGTGTAACTGTGCATAAGATGCTCCTCAGTAAAAACGAATTGCAAAGGGAGAGCAAATTGAGATTACTTTTGGGGGATTTTTCCAAGATGTAACTGACTAAAGAATTTGAAAAATTAACGTCTACTTGACTCATTCAATTTGACTTCTCAAACTCATTAATAATTCATCAAGTTTTGACAATGGAAATCATGACCGTGACGGTGTTTAGATATCTGATCTAAATTAGCATAGATTTTTACGATTTTATTTCTCCGTTTTCTCCTTAGTTTTAGTTTCGATTGAGAAGATATATCAAACACTCAAGATAGTGTTTGAGCGCATTTCCAAACACCTAGAAGTCCGTCAAATATACTCCTCTGCACGTCGTATTTTCAACTCTCTTCTCGGTGTTTGGAAATGTGGTCAAACACGGTCTTTCGTGTTTGATATGTTACAAAACATTATAACACTCCTTTTATAACTTCAGTGCACTTACATAGGGATTTTTAACAAAACTAAAACATTATCATTAGGTTTCCATCGGTGAAAATATGTTTCTAAGGATTGACGTTTGGACGTTAATCGAGATAGCTTATAGTGTCCCCGTTTAGAGCTTGTTATCTAACTTCAAATCTTTGCTTACCTTGTTTAGTGAAAATGAGAAATAACTAGTATACACTGTAAAATGATTTTCTCCTACTAGTACTTACTAAAGCTTTACATGTTGTCTGACCAAAGCAATTTCTGTAAGCCTTTCAGGGAAACAAAACGTGTAACTTAAAAATTGCATTGTGTTTACATACTTATCTTCGAATTCTTCACTGCCCCTCGAGATCTTCAATCTTTGGAAAGCGGTAACTCAAAAGGCGATATAGCGTGATAAACGAACTCGTTTTATATTGCAGGGTTAGCAATTAACCGATACATCCATGTCTCTCACTGGTTAATGAGCTGTGATAGCCTCAAGCACACGGACGCCTCAATTCTCTAGTACCACTTCAAATATCATGTGCGTGCTATTCCATTTAGAATGATAGAGCCACTTTAAACGATATAAACAGTGCTCCTCGCATAAATAAATTCCGAAAAAATTAAATGCTTATCAGCTGGGCCTGTCAAACACATTTCGTGATCATTTTTAATCCCACACCCAAATTGGCAAAGGTTTAAGAGACATCTTTTGACGACACCTTATTCATCACGTAACGATAAGAAAGTGCCTTCGATTGAATAGACTATATTTTTTGCCACTGTCTTTGCCTCAAATGAAGCTCTCAAAAATAAAATTTCCAATAATGGATTCCTCTTTTGGAATAGTAATCATTACGGACCGGATGGGTAACATTTTTTCCAGATATACTAAAAAATTCCCCACACAAGTATGCCGTGCAAATAGAATCCTGCGCTCTGGTTCAAACCAAGTTAGCAGCTTTCCGTTACACATTCTCACCTATTATTCTCACCTATAGTTTACATATTCTCACCTAGACTTGTATTTCCGGGAACTGTGGTGATTTAAATAGCAAACAAGTCTGTAAATATATATCATTCGACAGGCGCCAGGTCAGAACTTATCAGGACAATATCGCCCCAATTTTTTTTGTTCCAGTTGTTTTGTCGTACGACTATGACAAGTTTATTCAAAAAAGTTTTAATTCACCAAACTGTCGGCGAGACATGAAGGAGTTCTCAGAGGTCAGGGTGACTGTGGGAAAATTTATCTTTTTTATAATGACTTGAAAATTAAGCAAACGCACGAAATTAATTTTATGAGCAGTCCATCTTAGGGGTTCTTATTGAAAAGTTCAGACCGCATACGAAACCAATCAGATTACTAGATAATATATATATCGTGCTTTGAACAAATTTTAATTAGCCGTAGTTGACACGAATCGTGGGTGTCACTGAAAATTCGTGTTTTTATTAAAGTTATATTGATATTTGCAAAGGCTTTGGTTTGACGACTTTAAAAAACGCTCAGACAACACGGAATCACAAACAATCTGGTGAGAATTGGCCCTCTGATATAATACTATCTTCCGAAAAGAACGATTATCTATATATGTTTTGTGCCGGCAAATAAATGGATGGTTGTTGTTGTTCTATAAACTCTACCGAGATTGTTAAGGAAAAATTGATCATTTAATTTTGATTCACTTGCCTTAATCGTAGCTTAATTGAAAAAACTTGCTTATTTTATGGTTTGTCAAACATAATTTGTCCGGAAGAAAAAAAATATTATCATACATAGCATAGAGGGTTGTTCGGGGGAAGTTGCCGTCGCTAATGATGTGTGTGAATCTAACAGACGGAGCTAGGGAATTCGACCTAACAAAAACATCAAACCCAGAAATGTTCGCAGACACTGATTATGCAACAAGCCGCCATCTTTTTATTTAGTGATGACTAATTGAATATCAGAGAAGACCTTGTCGGGAAAAGATAGGCGGTAACCTGGGGATGAGTCAGGGGGAAGGTGTTGCTGATTACATATCATGTCCACTACAAGAAGTATGACCATAGTTAATTGAGGAGAATGGTTATGAATCCCGGTAACCATCAAAGGAGCAAACAAAGATGCCAAGATTTATGTTGGAAGGTCTACGACCGTGTATAATCTAATGTTAATCTTGCACTATGCATGAGTTACGTCACCAAAACGTTCCCATTGGTTAGTTCCTATTGTGTCTTGTGCACGGTTAGGGCTAAAAACCCAAACAAAAACAAACAATAAAGAGCCTAGTCTGGCCTCATAACGATTCCTCTCTGTTAACTGTGAACGACGAATTCACGTGCATTGACTTTCAAAGTCTCTTGATTGCGCCCAATGTAACAGGCATTTTTCTAGAATGATTTCCTACACTACATAACAATGAGGCAAGGCTGATTACTACGTAGAAAGGGACAACGACATGATAGCGCCCAAACTGAAAGCCAAGAATTGCAACCGTGGACAGCTGTTTCGACCTGGTTGGGTCTCGACAGCCTGGTGTAGCTGCAAAAAAATAGAACAACCAGCTTAAGGAGCAATTGTCTGGTAATGACCTCAGAAGAAACTCAAAATCGAAATCTATACTATTTTCATTAACAAGTCGCACTTTTTCGGGGCTAATTCATGAAAAGAGAGAGAGAAAACGACAGTAAATGTTCGGGAATAGACGTATTGATTTTTTTCTTTTGAGTTATGTCCAGGAGAAATTTTGACATTCAGGGGTATGATATTCGTTTGCTATTCTTCTCCACGACTCAACAAAAGAACACGAAAGAATTCATGAATCTCCATCAGTATAGCTGTTTATTATGACCAGCTAGGGAATGTACACTATTATTTTTCTGGTCGGCATTGTTTTGCTTTGTTTCTTAGCTACAGTTTTAGCCACCCAAGACCTTCTTGGGATCACCAAGGCTCTTTGTGCATGCATAATTTCTCGAAGTTGGCATGGCCAAAATAGTAGACCGCGTTGTAATAAACATCTGCGCCAGCCTTGCACCGCTTCACCTTGTCCGATACCACTCAGTTGAGCCAATTCCACACGCTTGTCAGAAACCTTTTACCCTTGGTGCTCCGCTCGCACTTTCTGTACTTGTCGTTTTTGAAAGCTGTATCGCCTTGTGCTCGAGTTCAGCCGTGTAGTTGACCCTGTCGTGAGAAAACTGTGCAATAAAGTTTTTCGCTGACTTTGAAGCAATAAAATTGAATATTTATTAGCTCATTACCTGTGAGCTGTCATAGAACTTGGGATACGAGTCAAGAGGCCGCTGCTCCATACACTCTTTTTCATAAGAGTATATTTTATGAGAATATCGAGCCCGAAATTTGCGAAATTTTAAGATTATTTTTAGAAGAAACCCGAGGCTTAGAATTTGAATTGAATACAATTATGTGTGTTGAAAATTTGTAAATACAATACAGTTTTATCTTTTTAACTAAATCGTATATAATTCTTCCTTTCTCTAAAAGACAAATCTAAACAAAAAGGAACAAAATTAAAACAGCACTAGCGGTATGTTCGATGCTAAATTCATTTCTGCAAGAAGTTATATCCTATAATCAAAGAATATTCATAAAACTGAATATTTTCAGCCTAAAATCGACAGAAAAAGAAGAATAATCAGCCTGGACGGGGAAAAAAACAACTATTTTTGTAGTAAAAAAAGAGTATCAGAAATTTTGTAATAATGCAAAAGCTCAAAGTTTGGTCATGTTTAGTCTTCATAGATTCGAGACGTCTGTTATTTTTCCAGTCTCAATATAGAACTCTGGTCTGCCCGATAACTTAGAGACGAAGTGAATAATTATTGCCTATTTCTTCACGTATATTAAAATCAAATGCAACTGATCTTACACAACTGTAACAGACGTCGTGCTTGTTGCAAGAAGGGTTAAACATTGTTTTGTATGGAAACGGACAGCCACACGGGATTCTGCAGCCATTGGTATGCACGGGACATGAGCTTGCGGTCGGGTTTGCCTTCGCTCCAAGGAAAACAAACATCAACATGCAGCACACACAGGGCGGAAAGGCGAGTCAAACTATCTGAGTAGAAACATTTACAATAAAGGGGAGGAATTACATTGAGTACAGGATTCTGGGCTATAGTGACCATCGAGGGGTGCGACCATCGAGTGGTGCGACCATCGAGTGGTGCGACCATCGAGTGGTGCGACCATCGAGTGGTGTGACCATCGAGCAGTTCTTTCATCTGATACTACTTTGTTATACTGTTCAAGGCATGCACTGTCAAAGAAAGTAATTATCTAACGCTGAAAACAGAAGAGAATTAAACTAAGGGTACTTACCAATATTTTCTTCCTCTCTCTAGAGACCATGGAATAAAACCGAGTCCCTTACAGACTTGAAATACGGTCCTGATGGGATAGAACCAGATGTTCTTACTTATGCCTTTTCAAATCGTAATTTCCGTATGTTTACCAGCTAAGTATTTCAAGTGGGTTTAGCAAATACATACCACTATGCTGTGTAAACCGAAGAAGATGAATGCGCAGTGAGAGAAGGCGGCCATTGTTTAAACGTGTCTCACAATTTCTCTTTTTGAAGCTTGTTTGTCTAATTATACAGAGTATTGACCGAATTTTAGTTAAAAGCGCTTTTCCTCAGTCAAGGCAATTTGATACCTGTATTTATTATCCATTCTGCACTCAGTGGAGTGCAAATATTGCGCAAAATAACTGCAAATATCCCATTTGTATAGTACGAAAATGGTTAACCAACATTGGGAAAAATGATAGCTAACATTGGCTCTCCTGACCTCTCTCAGAGAACTCACGCACAAAATGTATTTCTTTTAGGTATTTAATTAGGTTGCTTTGTCTTAGTTCCCACTGTGATAATCAGACCTGTATATACCACTTCTTGTGAATATCACACCACTTGACGCCGGCCAGTTTACTCGAGGCTGTTTTTTTTCTTCTTATTGTTTACATCGTTGTTTAAAATTGCGTGTGACATTTTCTTGTATTCTTTGGCTTGTAACCCATATTCAGCGTGTCTCAGATTCTTGTAAATAAACTCGATCATTGCTGGCGGCTCCCTCCACTATTTGTTGTATTACTTGTCTCCTCTACTTATAATAGAAATGTTTTCTACTCGGCTGAGCGAAGCGAAATGGAATAGAAAAAAGCACTGTGGTTAAGTCTGTCAAGAAAGAAAAAAGTTGGATAATAAATCCATAGTCTGCAGTATCGCTGTAGATTTGCTATTATCGTTTGATGCATATAGCCAAGAGCTCCACCACGTGACTTGCAAATAACATACTTATGAATAATGGTCTGCGCATGCGTAGTACCGTAAATAATATTCTGCTCATGCGTAACATGCATAATTGTAACCACGCTCTTCTTGTGAAAAATGACGGATCGCTTCCCTGAACTGTCAGAGAGTGATTTATGGTCTGAAATACATGTGGTTGATACGAAAACGAAAATGTATTTAATGCATGGAGTCAGAAAATACGAAAGGAATTCTAATCGGAGAACTCTCACCTGTATCTTCACGTTTTCGCGACTGATCGAGAAATTTTCAAAGGCAAATTTCCCGCAAGAGTCAACTGCACGCTTCTGATTGTTTTGTAAACAATGAAAACACGCAACGAGCCGAGAAACTCCTTTAAATATGAATTAAGGAAACTTAGTGATCGAATGATGAAACAATTATTGTATTCGGTTATCGCAAAATATCGTGATTTGTCAGTGGCGATTGCCAAAGCCGAAGGCTGAGGTAAATAATTGATCTGCAAGACACTGACAAATAACGATATTTTGGTCAACGTCGTCCAATAATTGTCAATTCGCTCATCCATCTTGCCAAAATTTAGCAAAATTCGTAAGAATCTACGTATAGAGATGGTTTGATTTATATTTTACAGACGGATATTTTGAGCAAAATTGTTATTTATTAGTCTTACACTCACAGTTAATTTTTCCCTCACAGAGAAAAATTAAATGCACTGACTTGAGACGGACACACAGTGACTTGTTATAGGAAGATTAGTTTCGAAAAACATGATAAAAAACTAAAAGTACTTTTCAGTCTTATTATTCCTTCTTTGCCAAGTCGAGCATTTTACCCACCTAACATTTGTTTTTTGCACGTTGATAAGCTTCGTGGGGAAACATCGAAGCACTTACGGCTTGTCAGAGGGTAGCCTGCGTCGCAACCGTTCCCGTACGCTGAACAAAGAGCTTTTTTCGCGTTCTGGCAGAGCGAAAACTGGCACGAGAACAAAAAAAAAAAAAAAAAAGAAAAAAAAAAAATGACAAAGTGGTGGTTTGCTTTGGCCCCAATTTTTGTGCGACCAAATTTTGTTTGCTTGCCCTCTCCTACGGAACATTTTCTGCACAGGCTAGTGCCGGTGGGTCAAGAAATCAGGCCAGTAGCAAGACGACAATGATTGGGTTGGAAAGTCGGGAAAGAAGTGAGGGTGAGGAAGCTAATGGAGAGGTTCGAGTTAACAGGCCAGACCCCTCTCTCCCCGTGGGCTTAGATTTCGTCTGAACACCTTGTCGTCCCTTTCTGTAACGTATATTATCAGTTTGTGTCAACTTGTCTGGAATGTCGTTCGCCGAATATTTGCCAAAAAAAAAAAATGATTTCAGTTTCCCAACGAAGTTATTAACAAAGTTTGCAAGGCTCAGAGCATCTATTACTATCCTGGAGAGGGTGCAAACTATAAGGTAGTTGATTAATTCCAGATTTTCCACTTGTTGAACCCTCAGCACCTACATATGGTGTTTAGAGTTTAGTTTAGGGGTTGTCATGAGTGAATTGCAATCCATTCGGCTGTGTCTATTTCATTTGAGTTGCCTTATCTTTTGAAAGGCAATTACTGACCGACCTGACCGATGTCATCTCCGATCTTTAACAAGAACCCATTCCTGTGTTAGTTGAAACTCCTTGGGTTGCGGGGCAATGCGAAGTGGACGAGGGTCAGTGTTCAGAGATCTTCAGATATCCCGGAACTGAATTTTCTTGGCTTCCTGTCCTCGAAAGAAAAGTTGAACGTCTCCAAAGATCTGCAATCCCCTGAGCGGAACTAAAATCTAGTAGAAATGGCGGCAACTGCAAATGAAAGGGCCTTGGGTCCGAGACAGGCCCAATATACGGGAACTTTGAAAAATCTCAATCAAAATGGCGGACGTCGATGATAGAGGTTCGGTCGGCGACGAAGAAGGAGGCAAAGATCTCTGGTATTAAGATCAAAAATGCTTGTGCATCAAAGTTAAGTTTGAGCAGATTGTAATAATGGTGCCTGTCTGTTATTTTTGTTCCGCAGGTCGGCGATTTTGAGTGACGTTTCAAGTTCAGCAAGCCGAAAACTTCCATCCAACAAGTCGATAGTACTGCTAGGTTCGTTTTTGCCCGCTTAACCTTTAGCTTTCTTTCATTCTCTTTTTCCGTTATCTGCATAGTCTTACAAAGTCCTTTCTTCAGGATACGATGGTTCAGGGAAAACGACGTTAATATCCAAGCTTAGAGGAAAAGAAGACGAGATTAGCAAGGGCCATGGACTGGAGTACACATATCTTGAAGTTCATGACGAAGAGAGAGACGGTGGGAAATCGTTTAACTCCAGACTTTAAACTTGGCTTTTTTCCTCCTTATTTTTTTTGACGCATCTCACAATAAATATTTTCTTGGATCCTTTAGACACCACTCGGCTCGGGGTTTGGATATTGGATGGTGACCCTCTTCACAGAAGTCTTCTGCAATACGCACTAACACCCAAAAGTGTTATGAACACTGTTATCGTACAAGTTGTGGATATTTCTAGACCGTGGACTATTATGGAATCCTTGCATTCGTGGACGGAGGTTCTGCGAGAGCATATTCACTCGCTGAAACTTTCACCAAAGGATTTGAATGAAATGGAGGAGCGAAGTAAGTAAATTTGAATTGATTTCGTAAAAATATATTTCGAATTGTGGTGGACACGATCTAAAAAAAATATATATATTGCCATACAGGCGTAGCAAATTGACTTTATTTCTGTTTATATAGCTGTTTCGCAGACTTATGCAGTTGACACTTTGTAAAATGTCAAGTTTTATTTTATATGGTGTTTGTTCGTTCGCAATTTTAATTTTCCAAGAGGACGTCGTCTTTAATTGATAGCCGAGTCGTATCCTAACACATTCGGAAAGCCGTCGATATTGTCTGGGAAAACAAGAAGATCGAAAAATCAATGTATGCTAGTAAAAAGAAAGCAGAACTGTACTTTACTGTACTGTACTGCACTGTACAGTACTCAAGTGTTGTTGAGTTACGAAGCTCTAACGATTTGTACGGTTGATTTACCAAAACTACCATTTACTCGGCGAACAAAAAAATTTATTGGTTGGAAAGGAATGCTTGTTAATTGTTGACGTTTATTTCACATATTTACTTTCGCTCTAATGTGATCAAAATGTTACCTGCGAGGCCATCTCGAGAGAGAAACTTGTTTTGATTTTGGTTTTAATGAGTGAGATCAACTAAAATGATTTAACAGTTGGGGGTCCAACCTCATGTTTAATTAATAGAATAATTTTAGTATTCTAGTCACTTTAATTTAATCTTAATGTGCATAATTTTCCAGTTCTATGTTATGAAGCATTTTAGCCATTTAACCATGCAACCTGCACTCCGTGTGTGTGGCATTATCTCAGTCATTGTAAACAGAAGAAATTATCATTTTAGATAGGGTGATGTTATGAAGATAGCAGAATGTTTTGGCAGGCATTGTGTTACCCTGGTGCAAAGGCAGATTTTGTTTGAATGTGGTCTGTAGTCTTGTAGTGTCGCATTACTGATGTGAAAAATAGGAAAACATAATGGAATCTAGAATTTTCTTAATTATATGTACAGTTGTGTGTATCATTATCAATTCATTTGCAGCCAGAAAAATGTTTTACACAAATTATCTTAGTTTATATGGGAATCAAGTGATATTAAGCTGTAATTTTTATTGTATGATCTGTCAATTTGATACCAAGCTGATTAGCTGGTACACAACTTTATGATAACATTCGTTGAATTATTTTGATAAATAACTCATACAGGGAGATGTTATTCTGTTCTTTGTTTAAGTTGGTTCCTTTCTTTTGGTCCTTGAAGTCAGCAATGAAAAATGTATCAATGTACAGTATTTCATCAATTTATTATCCTGGGTTACCAAGCTTTTTTTGTATGGTCCTTCAGTTTTCAAGTTCACTGCACACAGTACCTACATGTACAGTGTTACATAATGAAGAAATTTTGGGCCATTTTAATGTGACAAAACAGTACATGAAATGTGCATTTCAAAAAAAAGAGACTAAATGTTATATACTCTGTTGCATGTATATTTTTGTGCTGGAAATCGATTGCTAATTAGATTGCCAGATCTAATTAGTAAACAGTGTATAGTGTATTTCTGGCTTTCCAAACTTTAAGCCTAATGGTCGTTCACATAAATTTTGCATCAGTTTTTCAAACATTATGATCTTTATGATACCATAAAATTCTGAAAGTAACTACCCTTGTTTGTTATCACTGCCAATAGGTACATGTACATGTATATTACATGTATAAATTCACTAATTGTATCTATAACAAACTTCTCGATCATGATTGGTTCTCTGCGTGCCTATTTATCATGTAATCGGCACGTGATCACGTGGGTGTCCAATTACAGGTATCCAATTTGAACAATTGGATACCTGTAATTGGATGCCTATGTGATTTGCACATCAATTACGCACGCTTTAATGGCTTCCTTCGCAATGTTTCCTACAGTTTTCAAAACTTATGGAAAGCGCTACAGACGTTTTTGCTCAAAAGAAGTTCTCAAAAGACATTTTTAATTCCGAAATTTGTTATACATACAATTAATTAGTAATTGGACCTTGTGTTGTACAATTCAGGGAGTAATCATGCTTGTGATTTCAAATCGGCCTTGTGCTTTGCACTCGTCCAATTTTGAAATTACTCATGCGATTACTCCCTGAATTGTACTCCACTCAGTCCAATTACTATTAAAAATTGACCAGGCCTGTGTTGTTCAAAAGGTGGATAATACTATCCACCATATATAACTATACAGCGGATAGCCCAGTTTGTTTTGTTAACACTTATTGACTGGAGAGCAATTTATCTGGTGGATAGTGTTATCTAGTCTTTCAACAACTGGGGCCAGCTCTTTGTCAGCTTAATGCAGGTACATGTCCATGTAACTAAGCTAGCAAAATATTGTGCTGGTGTAGCAGAGTTGATAGGTTAGAATCCAGCTCAAGTCTGATTTTGTTTTCAGTGTTAGTACAATTGCTTGAAAAATCTCCATCTTATTTGTTGTAGTTGTGCGGCAATTTCAAGAGTATGTGGAACCAGATGAGTCAACTGAGGACAAAAGGAGGTCAGGAATAAAGGATGAGGACAAAGTTCTTCTTCCACTTGATGAAAATGTGCTTACAGATAATCTCGGTATACCTGTGGTAGTAGTTGTCACAAAGGTTAGTATGCAATATTTGTATAATTATTTAGACAAGAGTTCAGCTGTTCAATATATTTCTTAACGATCTGGAGATTAAATTAGGGAACGAGGCACTTGGTTTTAAATATGCTGATGACTGTACGATTATTCAACTGTCCAAGTTAACTTTTTTCCTTAGTGGCCATTTGGCCACTGACTGTTCAGGTTTGGTCGCCAGTGAAAAATTTTAG